GGAGTACTAATCAGCCATAAAAAAGAATCAGATCCTACCACTTGCCACAATGTGGATGGAACTGGGGGTCATTATGTTAAGTGAAATAAACCAAGCAGAAAAAGACAAACATTGCATATTATCACTTATTTGTGAGAGCTAAAAACTAAAACAATTGAACTCATAGAGGCAAAGTACTGAATGGTTACCAGAGGCTTCAAAGGGTAGCATAGGGCTTGTGGAGAGGTGGAGACGGCTAACAGGTACAAAAATATAGAATTACTAAGACCTAATATTTGTTAGCCGAAGAGGGTGACTATAATAAATAATAATCATACATTTAAAAATAACTAAAAGAGTATAACTGGATTGTTTGTAGCACAAAGGACAAATGTTTGAGGAGATGGATACCCCATTTATCATGATGTGATTATTATGCATTGCATGCCTGTATCAAAGTATCTCATGTACCCCACAAATATATATACTTACTACATACTCACAAAAATTAAAAATTTAACACAAAGAAAACAGAAAAGAATTACATTAGAATGGTCATGTTAGAATAACAAGATAGCAGGTGCTTTTCCTTCTTTTTTTTCAGACAGGGTCTTGCTCTGTCAGCCAGGCTAGAGTGCAGTGGTATGCAGAGGCCAGCTCACTGCAGCCTCAACCTCCTAGGCTCAAGCGATCCTCCCATATCAGTCTCGCTAATAACTGGGACTACAGGTGCATGCCACCATGCCCAGTTAATTTTTGTATTTTATTGTAGAGATGCAATCTAACCATTTTGCCCAAGCTGTTCTTGAACTCCTGGACTCAAGCAATCTACCCGTTTTGGCCTCCCAAAGCACTGGGATTACAGGTGTGCAGGTGTGAACCACTGTGCCTGGCCCTCTGTCTCTTCCTATTTCTGCTAAAATGTACTTGTAACTTTTTTTTTTTTTTTTAAAGCCTACAGCACCCGGTATTCCCAGGCGGTCTCCCATCCAAGTACTAACCAGGCCCGACCCTGCTTAGCTTCCGAGATCAGACGAGATCGGGCGCGTTCAGGGTGGTATGGCCGTAGACACTTGTAACTTTTATACTGACTACACTTAAAAGTATGAAACTTGCAAAGGAAAGGTCCTGGAAGGGTTTGTTCTTTACAAGGTCAGTCAGAAGCTACAAGGGCCCAGGCTGGGGCGAAGGTGTGGGCAGGTACATGCAGGGCCAGATGCTGGGTGTGGAGTAGATGCCAGGTGCTAGCTGGGCATGGAATGTGCACCCACTCCCTGAACTCTGCTCCCTGACTCTCAGAAGGAACTAGAACTGCCTGGAGAGAGGAAGAAGCAGAGTAAAGAAGGCAGACTCTCTGGCCAGAGATCTCATAGCCAGGAGCACAGTGAGAACAGATCCTAAGCCTGTCTGTCCAGAGCCCAGGCTCCCTTTCCCTACAACTGCAGCTTCCCTTCTCTGGTCTGGCCCAGCAGAGTGAGGAGGGGCCACCCACCCAGCCATACCTGCTGGTGGCTGCTGGGGGTGCATGGTCAGAAGAGGAAAAGATGCGGTTCAGGTAGTCATTCAGCAGCTTCTCCTGCACAATGCCTGAGCCACAAGTCAGAAGGGAGAAAAGGGCCACATGATCAGTGCAGCTCCTGGCCCCTGCTGGTCCCAGGCCAGCCACAGGTGCAGCAAGGCCTGAGGCCTTTGTCCCTTCCTTCTCCTCCCAACAAGAGGAGCCTCCTTCCTTCCCTGTCAGCCCTTACCTGTGACCCTGGATTTCTCAGCATCTGAGGTCAGCCTATAGCTCTTGCGGGAGAAAGACATGCCGGCCCCCTTGGATGCCATCCTTCATCTCTCATGGGCAGCCAGTCGTCCTGGAGGCTGAGCCAGACACAGAGCCTGTCTACTTAGGGCCAGCCATGGGCCCTCACACCTGACCTCAGTCCTGCCACAGCAGGAAGGCTTGGGAGCAGGTGAGGCCAAGGTCATGCACACTAACACATAGGGCAGGGGAATGCAGGAGCTCCCAGCTTCCTACACAGGGAGGGTAGCCGGGGTCTAGGCTCCACGCTTCTTGTTCTCCAGTGTCCCTGTGTCAAGCACAGGGCCTGGCAGAGAGCAGGTACCAGATATATTTTTGCCGAACCATAACTAAATGTCTTAGCTCTGTGGAAATCAGACCGAACTGTCCAAAGTGAGGTGTCCTAGAGGCGGACCCCCTGTACCCATCTTAGTTGTAAGCAAACTGGGTCCAGCTCACATCCAGAAGAGAGAATCCTACACATTCCTCCAAGTGCAGACCACCACTAGTCTGATCATCTTTAGCCATAAGTCTCACTTACTCCCCACAAGGCTGGGGCCTCTTTCCTCGGCCCTGGGTTCCTCCCTTCTTTCATCCATGGTCCTAAAAGTTTTCCTGTTCCCACTCACACATGTGGCCTCCCACCTCATCCAAGCACCACCCTTGCCCAGCCCCAGCCCTCATGGCAAACTCCATTGGTCCTCTACTGCAGCAATCTCTCTTACCATGTTGCTATTGCAGCTGCTCCAGAACCTGCACTAAATCCCTGGTGCTGGCCTCACTGATGTGTAGCTGTGCTGCCCAACATAGCAGCCACCATCCGTATGAAGTTATTTAAATTGAAAGTTTTAAAAATTAACAATTCGATTTCTCAGTTGCCTTAGCCACATGTCAAGAGTTCAATGACCACTTGTGGCTAATGGTTACTCTATTGGACAGCACAAAGACAGAACATTTCCACCATCATAGAAAGGTGTATTAGAAAGCGCAAGTCTGCCTTAGGCAGCACTCCCTACTCTGCAGCTCAGTCTCTTATCTCACCCCAAAGAGCCCCTCTACTACCGCCAAACCCTTTCGGGTCTGCACCACACCTGCCCCTTGGGAAGGTGGTTTTCGCGACCTCGGGCCCTCGGTGGGCGTCTATGATCAGTGCCCCTCTCACTACCAGAGTAGTTGAAGGTCTGATTAAACGCAGTCATTTATTTGATGAGCAAACCTTCCAGACACCCACTCCGGGTGTCAGTTGCTTAGGATCCAGGTGAGAGGCGGATCTTGTGCCCACCCGAAGACTTCCTGTCACGGCTATCCTGTCCAGCCCCGCCGAGGTAACCGGGCTCAGAACTGAACCTACTCCGTCTGGGAGCCCAAGGACAGCGAGGGCGGCGCACGGTTCCCCCAAGTCGCCCCCGCCTGGCCCCAAGCTCCAGAAGACCTGCCAGACCAGCTCCCGCTCGGAGTCTCGCACCACAGGCCACGATCCCTGAGCTGAGGTGCCCTCGCACTGGACTAGCCTGGGCCGCGAAGGGAGTCGCCCGGACCCGCCAGGCTCAGAACCTGGCCGCCCCTCACTCACCCCGAGCCTCGGCCGCGGCGACCCGGCTCACAACATCCGCCCAACCTCTTGGCTACGGCATCCGTCTAGGGCCAAATCACGCGCAAGCTCGCGCGCCGCGCCTCCAGCCGCGCAAGCGCACTGGCCCATGCCCAGTCTCTGTTAGTGGACCCCTTCCACGGTCTCCCACCGAGTTCCAGGCCTCAGCTTCGCCGGAAGGTCTCATCACATCCGACCTCCGCCTGCCCTGAGGATGCTCCCAGCCCTGCTGTGGCAGAACGCGACGTACTAACCGGAATCCTTAGACCGCCTATCTCAACTCCTATCTGTACTTGGAGGCTCAGCTCCGATGTTCCTTAGGACGTCTGAAAGGCCGCTCCTGCCAGAGCCCTGCTACCTGTTACCTCCACCCCTATTTAGTCCTAGCGGACAGCCTCACTCACCTTCCCTGGGATGACGCTTCTGGCGGATGAGATAGGCCTCCTCCCTAGGCTCTGCTGCCGGGCGTAGGATGACCTGCCTACAGCTGGGACCTGATAAGGTGGCAGCAAAAGAGTTGGGGGCTGGGCAATGTTGGAGCTGGGGCAAGTAATTTTCCCCAATTTACAGGGAAAAACTGAAGTTCAGAAAAGTTTAATGTCACCCAGGGGCTGGAACCCAGACGTCTGGCAGCTCTCACTTTCACAATGCCCTTGGGCTGACTAGGCTGCAGAGGGGCTTCACCCCAACCCCAGAGCACCTCAAGCGTCCCCACCAAACCTTCCTAACACCTGTCCACTAAGTAGGGAGGCCTCTCAGGGGGCTAGCTGTACTAGTCCCTTGCAACTGACCTGTGGGAAGTAAGAGTTCCTTTTCTGTTGAGAAACACTAAGTTTATCCTGCCCCTATGGCTCCTTTGTGGAGGATACCTTGTAGTTTGTAATTAGTCACAGGCAGGTAACAGCTGCCTACTTGTTATATTCCTGAGTTACGTGTATATGTAAAACACCTGTGCATTAATAAGAATCACCTGTAAAAGAACAAATAAATGCGTGGATGACTCTCTGCTCGGGGCCCCTGGAGAGCTGCAAGCCCCGCAGGCTCTCAGGCTGTTGGTTCCCCAGGATAGATCCACTCTGTTGGCTATCTGAGTGTCTGCCTCTCTCAATACCTTCAGCCTGCCTGGGTGGGAGTCTCCCGGCCGACCTGGTTCTCAGTACTCTTCAAAGTTTCCTTTCTTGTTAAATAATAAATCATAAGTGTGCTGATAACTTTGTTAAACCCTATCCTATGTAGCTGTTAGACATGCCACACTTACAGACACATAGTATAGTCTGTGTCCTTGCACTTTAACCAAGATATCTGTGCTGGAAATGCTCACAGGGTCCCAGCTCACAGCCTGTGCCCCTACCTGTTTTTTAAAAAAGTTTTAAGTTATTAGCCAGTCGGGTTTTAGATTGTGAGGTCTAGCTCCAATGGAGATCAGACACAGCAGTAAAGACAACCCCAAATGCTTATGGGATAAATATGTCTGCTTTTCCTTTTTCCTTTCCTGCAGTGCAGGAAGTAAGAGTAAAAGTTAAAAAAAAAAAAAGTTTTCTGAGAGATCCTTTGTCTCAGTGCTAATTTTTCTTTGTGGCACTGAGCATGTTTCCAACATGACCTATGGGACCTGAGGCCTGGCCCCTCATGGCTCCTGTCACCAGGTCTCAGGTCAGGGTCCAGCAGGCCTTGACCTGATGTGTGGAGCCAGAGCCACCCAATCCCATAGGGACAGATTTCACAACTTCCCGGATGGGGCTGTGGTGGGTCACAGTGCAGCCTCCAGCCAGAAGGATGGGATGGTTCCCACTCCTGCTGCTTATGACGCAATGCTTAAGGGTTCCTGGTGAGTGCCCCCGATCCTGATCCCCATCTGCTTTCAGAAGGGGGTTGGCCCCATCCTACTATTCTAGGATGAGAGAAAAGTTGGGGAGCTGGAGGATCAGTGGGCAGGGTGCAGTGACCTTGGCCTCAAGCACAGCTGGGAAGCTCTAGAAACATATACCCATTGACCACTTAGGCCTCTATTAGCATGTCTGCTCTAGGACTGAAGCAGTGTTAGGACCACACAGATGCACACACATAGCCGGTAGTGACCCCTCCTGGGCCTGATCTACTCCTCTAACCTAGCATATGCCTTTGTGCAGGTGAGAGCCCAGATTTGGAGTCAGAATGCCTAGGCAGGGCCCCTGGCTGGGTAATGTGATGGCTCTGAGCGTTTGCATTCTCATTTGTGAGATGAGATGGGGCAAGCTTCATCACCCACTGCTCTCACGGAGCGTATGTTAGATCTGAGCCCAGTGCCTGGGCCACTAAACAGAGGCACCAGTGATAACTACCAACTGTGGGCCTGCTTCCCTGGGGAAATTTTCTTTACAAGTATCTGTGCAGAAGTGCTAGACTGGCCCTTGAAAGTGCTTCCAACCCAGAAGCCTTGTAGCTTTGGTCCCCTGAAAGAACAAAGTGTGGACATGCCAATACACGTTACTGACATGTATGCTCACCTGACCTGCACCCACTCATGCCCATCTGCAGGGCAGCGCTCGTCATTGAATGACTTCCAGGTGCTCCGGGGCACAGAGCTACAGCACCTGCTACATGTAGAGGTGCCTGGGCCTTGGCAGGAGGATGTGGCAGATGCTGAAGAGTGTGCTGGTCGCTGTGGGCCCTTACTGGACTGCCGGTGAGTGGCCACTGGGCCTAGATAAGACTGGGGCAGGGGAGCCTGGGCTGTGGTGTTACCCTGTGCCGCCTTCTCTCCAGGGCCTTCCACTACAATGTGAGCAGCCATGGTTGCCAACTGCTGCCATGGACTCAACACTCGCCCCACACGAGGCTGCAGCGTTCTGGGCGCTGTGACCTCTTCCAGAAGAAAGGTGAGTGGGGGTGGAGAGGGTCAGGGTGGGAGATAGAGAATCTCAGCCCAAGTCCATCTTCTGTCTCTTGCTCCCAGACTATATACGGACCTGCCTCATGGACAATGGGGTTGGGTACCGGGGCACCGTGGCTACAACCTCGAGTGGCCTGTCCTGCCAGGCTTGGAGCCACAAGTTCCCGAATGATCACAAGTGAGACAAACACCTTCCCTTTATTCCAGCCTGGGGCCTTCCCCCAGCACACACTATAGTGATGTTCTGGACCATTAGGTACACACCCACACTAAGGAATGGCCTGGAAGAGAACTTCTGCCGTAACCCTGATGGTGACCCGGGAGGTCCTTGGTGCTACACGACAGACCCTGCCGTGCGCTTCCAGAGCTGTGGCATCAAATCCTGCCGGGAGGGTAAGCGGCGCCGGGTCAAGCCTGGTGAGTGGAGGGACAGGCTCACGCCCATCCACAAACCCACTAGCCCTTTGTCTCCAGCCATATGTGTTTGGTGCAATGGCGAGGATTACCGTGGCGCGGTGGACCGCACTGAGTCAGGGCGCGAGTGCCAGCGCTGGGATCTCCAGCACCCACACCAGCACCCCTTCGAGCCGGGCAAGTACGCGTGGGAGATTTTGGCGTCCTGGGGGCTGGGCTAGGGAAGGTCCAGGACTCCAGGAGCAGGGCTCTGTGTAGGGCAATTGCATGGGGCCAGACAAGCCAGAGTCCCAGGGTCTTGTTCATGCCCCGTTACCACCCCAGGTTCCTTGACCAAGGTCTGGATGACAACTATTGCCGGAATCCTGACGGCTCCGAGCGGCCCTGGTGCTACACTACAGATCCGCAGCTCGAGCGAGAGTTCTGTGACCTCCCCCGCTGTGGTAGGCTGCGGGGACTGGGCCTGGGAGCGTACCTGGGAACCTTTGGAGGGGAGCGTGGCTTGGGTGGGGAGGGAAGAGGAGCTGGGCGTGAGCGTGACCTGAAAGCATATCCCATGGAGTACCGTACACCTGCGAAAGGTGGGTTTGGTCCAACCTGTTTTGGTCCATCTAAGAGTCTGAGGCACAGCCCCGCCACGAGGCCACGACTGTCAGCTGCTTCCGCGGGAAGGGTGAGGGCTACCGGGGCACAGCCAATACCACCGCCGCGGGCATACCTTGCCAGCGTTGGGACGCGCAGACCCCGCATCAGCACCGATTTGTGCCTGAAAAATATGCGTGCAAGTGAGGTGGGGGCGGGTGCTGGGATGTGCTGCTGTGGGTGAGATGGGTGGAGGGTAGTTACAGGACTTAGGGCTGGTGGCTGGCGGGCTAGGGCTGAGTGGAGCGCCTGCTTAGAGACCTTCGGGAGAACTTCTGCCGGAACCCTGATGGCTCAGAGGCGCCCTGGTGCTTCACACTGCGGCCAGGCATGCGTGTGGCCTTTTGCTACCAGATCCGGCGTTGTGCGGACGATGTGCGGCCCGAGGGTGAGGCCTGAGCTTGTGGCGGGGGGTCACAGAAGCCTGAAACCGGGGTGGCGGGGGGCAGGGGCAAGGTCTTGGCCTGATTGACTGCCCCCACCTGCTGCAGACTGCTACCATGGCACAGGGGAGCAGTACCGTGGCACCATCAGTAAGACCCGCAAGGGTGTCCAGTGCCAGCACTGGTCCGCTGAGATACCGCACAAGCCGCAGTGAGTCCCTGGTGCTCCCGACTGAGCCAGGGCCCTAACCCTGGAGCGGTATACTTTAGTGTCTGGGACCAGAGCCTGGAGATGGTTGAGACTATCCTGCCACAATTTTGCTCCCCCTCCTGCCTAGGTTCACGTCTACCTCCAAACCACATGCCCAACTAGAGGAGAACTTCTGCAGGAACCCAGACGGGGATAGCCATGGGCCCTGGTGCTACACAATGGACCCAGAGACCCCATTTGACTACTGTGCCCTGAGACGCTGCGGTGAGCTCTAGCAACGTTCCCCCATGCCCTGCTTCGGCCTCTACCACCAAAGTCTGGCTCCCTTAATGCACGTGTACTTTGTCTTTCAGTTGATGACCAGCCGCCATCAATCCTGGACCCTCCAGGTTAGGATTTGGGCCAGTTATGGGTCAGGCCCTTTTGCCCACCATGTCCACGTAGTCTGGGTTTCAACCAGCCCACCCCATCCTTCAGACCAGGTGCAGTTTGAGAAGTGTGGCAAGAGGGTGGATCGGCCAGATCAGCGTCATTCCAGGCTGCGTATGGTGGGGGGCCATCAAGGCAACTCACCTTGGACAGTCAGCTTGCGGAATCGGTGAGGCACAACTGCCTGTCTCCCCCAGAGAGGAGCTAAGGTTGTGTCCTCTGTGGTTATCCCACTGGAGGTTGGGAACCTATTGCTGGCCCCAGAGGTCCCAGCCAGAAGATGGCAGGTCTAGCCATGTGTCCCAGGACTCTGAACCCTGTCCTAATTCCCCACTCCTCCAGGCAGGGCCAGCATTTCTGTGGGGGGTCTCTAGTGAAGGAGCAGTGGATACTGACTGCCCGGCAGTGCTTCTCTTCCTGGTGAGCCTCCCTTGCATTTGGGGACCCAGTCCCACCCCCTCACCTGCCCTCTTCCCGAGGCAAGCTAACAAGTGGGCCTTGGGGCAACTGACTGAGAGTCACAAATAATCTAGCAGAGCTTCTTTCCCAGCCATATGCCTCTCACGGGCTATGAAGTGTGGCTGGGCACCCTGTTCCAGAACCCACAGCCTGGAGAGCCAGGCCTACAGCAGGTCCCAGTGGCCAAGATGGTGTGTGGGCCCTCAGGCTCCCAGCTTGTCCTGCTCAAGCTGGAGAGGTATGTGAACAAGCTGGGAGGATGTGAGGTGGGGCCGGGCCTTGTGGCCTCAGGCCCTGAGTGCCCCCATTCTTGCTAAAGATCTGTGACCCTGAACCAGCGTGTGGCCCTGATCTGCCTGCCCCCTGAATGGTATGTGGTACCTCCAGGGACCAAGTGTGAGATTGCAGGCTGGGGTGAGACCAAAGGTAAGAGCATAGTGCAAAAGACTGCTCCTGGCCAGGAGGCCCAGCTCTGGATATTCCTCCAGGGCATTCTCCTTCTCCCCATTCCCCTTACTGTAGGTACAGGTAATGACAGAGTCCTAAATGTGGCCTTGCTGAATGTCATCTCCAACCAGGAATGTAACATAAAGCACCGAGGACGTGTGCGGGAGAGCGAGATGTGCACTCAGGGACTGTTGGCCCCTGTGGGGGCCTGTGAGGTTGGTGGCAGGGCCCTGGGCCAGCCCTGGGAGGTTATGGGAGGCTAGAAATGAACTACTTTATCATGAAGGGGGCTAGCTACTGCCGTGGCCCAGGGCCCTCATCAGTTCTCCTATCTGCCAGGGTGACTACGGGGGCCCACTCGCCTGCTTTACCCACAACTGCTGGGTCCTGGAAGGAATTATAATCCCCAATCGAGTGTGCGCAAGGCCCCACTGGCCAGCCGTCTTCATGCGTGTCTCTGTGTTTGTGGACTGGATTCACAAGGTCATGAGACTGGGTTAGGCCCAGCCTTGATCCCATATGCCTTGGGGAGGACAAAACTTGTCAGACATAAAGCCACCTTTCCTCTTTATGCCTGTGCAGATGCTTCTTAGCCTCTGCTTTCAGGAAATGAGTCAGTGACTTCTTGCTAGGGCCGGGGTGACTTGAGCCCAGCACACCCTGGGCTAGGTGATCTGTCCCTGAAACTACTTTTGCCCATGGGTGCCGTGGAAAGGCCTCACTAGTCCCCCAGACATTCTCTTGGAAAGGGTGATGCAGAGCAGTTGCTAATGGAAGGGGCTGCAGCAGAGAAGCTAGGCTGGTACAGAGTCCTGGTTTCCAGGACAGGCAGAGGCTAAGCCTCTCACTATCCCCTCCCCTCTCACACTGGAGGCACATGAAGCCCTTGTGGCTACCACACTCAGAACCTACGGTCTCTGCACCCCAGGGTGGGAGGTGGGGTTGGGGATGGCTTGGTACAAAGTACCAGCAGGAACCAGGCTCTGTGTCCTAATTTATTATGACTACATAGCCCACAATCTACCCACGCATCCATGGAGTCCAGAGCCCAGAAAGCCTCCTGTTGCCTTGCCAGACCCTGGAACTCCCCAAGACCAAAGTGTGGCACAGGCTGATCAGCTCACACAGAATAACAGGGCTTCAGCTGCCCAAGTGCGTGCGTAGCCAGAGCACAGCATTCATGAAGTTGTCTGACTCCACCTCCACCTCTGATAGTGCGTGGGTGCTTTTGGGATAGAGCAGGAGCCTGTAGGGATTAGTTAGCAACATTTAAGGTTGGAGGGTCCTCCCTTGCTCACCTGCCCACCAGTTGCCAGGGCCATCCTGCTGCACTCACCGAACAGGCACATTCCGGGTCTTGAGGGCACGGTAATACTCCATGCCCTGCTTGAAGGGCACACGCCGATCCTCCTGGCCCAACATCAGTAACAGTGGTGTCTTCACCTGGGTGTTTGGGGAGGAGTGGGGAGCTGTGTTGAGCTAAGCCCTGGGTTCTGGGTGGAAGAGCAGCACACAGGGCAAGGAGGGGGCTGCATACCTGAGGGATGTATTTGATGGGCGATTTGTCCAGCATCTCAGCCCACACGCTGAGGTCTGGCAGGCAGTCACTGCTGAAAGGAAAGCCAGCTTCCACCACGCACCTGCAAGACACCAAGCTGATGCAACCCCAGGAATTCTGGGGCCTGTGGGGCTCCATGAGAATATGAGGTAGAGGAGAGAAGGGCAGGGACCTGTGGTGTATGCCTACCAGTCAGGGATGTCAGTGGAGCCCAACATGGAGGCAATGTTGATCACAGGGTTCCGGGCCACACAGGCCCTGTAGGTCTCTGGGTACTGACCAATCAAGTGGCAGGAGATGAAGCCACCATGGGAACCACCCATAAGGGCCACACGGCTTGCATCAAAGTGTTCCTCCTGGAGCACGTGTTCTACTGCAAACTGCAGGGTAGGGAAAAGCATGCTGCAGCTGGCTGCCCTCCTAGCTGAATGGGGGCATCCCCCCTGGCAGCCCATGTTCCAGCCTGTTCAGAGGCCCTAGCCCCTGCTACCTGGACATCTTTCACATCCTGGTGGCCCACATTGCCTGGGAGGGAGAGGATGCTGTCCTGGCCAAAGCCTGTGGAGCCACGATAGTTCACTGAGGGCAGAGAGGGACCAGACAGTGTAGTCAGGCAACATTACCAGCCCCGTGGACCCCCTTTTCCCACATCTGTGAAGTAGGCCCTGGGGCCAGCTGTACCACAGTCAAGGAGAAGGGACCCAGAGATTTGAGGGTCCCTCAGTGACCACAGCACCCTTTCCCTGGAAATCCCGTTAGTCCTTGTTATCACTATGCTACAGAACCAGAGGCTGGGCCCCAGCAGTTCCTGGTAGTGGTTACTAAGTCTGGGCTACAGAAAGACCTGGAGACTATAGAGTTGCACCCATGGTGTTTGTACAAACCAGGCCCCCCTGCCTCACTCCAGCATAGTCCTAACAGAGCTGCAAGTCCCTGCTCACTCACCTAGCAGTACCGCAAAGCCCATCTTGCAAAGCATGGCTGGGAACAGCATCCAGGCAGTGACAAAGGATGAATGGGGCCCTCCTACAGACAGGGAGTAGAGGGTGAAAGGGCCAGCCAGGAGGAGGGCTGGGAGGGCAAGGGCTCTTATACCAGATGCCTACCGTGGGGTATGACCACCATGGGCACCTGGGTCTTATCTGGAGGGTTGCTGGGCTGCAGCAGGATTGCTTCAAAGTCAAGGCCAACTGCAGGGAGAGGGCAGCAGTCAGCAGGGCCAGCCTAGGGGCTTCCCCAACCAAGGTCCCATCTGTAGCTGCATGTCTGGGGCTGACCTCTGGGTCAGAGACCTGGCCAAGGTAGTCCACACCATGACACATGGACCTCAGAAGGCTCATGCTTCTGCAGTCGTCAGGGAGCCCCACCCTGCAGAGACAGCATTCTGGATGAGCTAAGGCCTTGAATGAGGCCTATTTTCTTTGGACCTGGGTCTTCCCACCACAGATGATTTGGCCTGGGGGAGCCCAGGTGATACTCAGAGCAGGCGCTCAGATGTCTGGATGCTACTTCCCATACTCATCCATAAAAGGAGCAGAAAACCTCTTAGAAGTCATCCCTGGAAACCCCACAATGTGAGGCAGGAGGCAAGAAAGGTCACCGCAGAGGCTGTGTGCTGGGGAACCTGGAGAAGGCATCCCTCTGCCCCTGGCCCAGCTCACCATGCTGCACATTCTCTTGCTCTGGGGGTGGCTGTAGCACCTGGATGCCCCAGTGGATGTCAGGAATGGGCTCGGCCTCCTCCAGGGACACCCACAACACTGACTGCTCCTTCCCTGCAGAAGGCAGGAACCCAACTTTCTGCCAAGGGGAAGCAATGTGTCACAGGTGGCCTGGCTGCCTCCCTGCCCTTTTCCTTCTGCCCACAGTGGGAAATAAGCAACTTTCATTATGCTGGGCTCTCGACCCACCTCCAGAGGGTATAGCATGGCTTCCTGTTGTAGGCTGGCATTTACCAAGGTATTCACACTCATATATCACATACATGCACACCCCTCCCTCCTCAGCTTCTAGCCTCTGCTGTCTCCTTTGCTCTGTAATACCAGGACTGGGCACTTCCCCAGGCACCTTGTTCTGTACAGAGCAGATTCTAGCCTAGTAGTTCATTCCTGTGAGTGCCAAACCCTCATGGACCGTGCTGAGCTGGGCCTGTGTCTTGGCCCTTCTGTATGCTGACCAACCATGTTCAGACTCTGGGGCCAATTCCCTGACCTGTGAGCTCTGCCTGCCCAGAACCCCTGCCTCCATGGCCTGGGACCCACTGACACTCACCAGGGTTGGAGGTAGGCTGGGTGTGGAAAACTGTGCCACCATGAGGTCCTGGTCAATTGTGAGCAGCTTCCAGCTCCCACCTGCCCCTCCTGGAAAAGGCAGATGCCATTTAGTGCTTAGCAGGAACCATCACCTTTATACCTGCTTCTCTATAACAGAGTCCCAGGCTGGAGGCTCTATGGAAAGGTGCCCTTTTCCCGAGAAGCGCCTTTCACAAACACCCAACTGCACATGGCCCTGGGTGAGCCTCCTGTCCTCAGTCCCTTGTTCATCTGACAAACACTGGTTGGGTTGGGAACTGCCAGACCTGGAGACACATTAGACCATGAGGCACATCTTCCTGTCCCTCGATGGCTGCAGTGTGCAGGATGGTAGCCGGGCCCGGGGAGTTGGGGGTGGGGGAGTGTGCTGATTTCGGGCAGTGGCGTCTAAGCAATTCTGAAGCAGTTGTACAATGAGATGTAGCTTTGGAATAATATTTTGGTAGCTTTGTGGAGGAATGGGTATGTCTGGTCAGGTGGAGGACTCAAAACACATTTCAGGGGTAGAATCACCAGGCCTAAATATGGGGAAGATGGGGCAGTCAACACTGGGCTTTTCCTGGGCCCTGAGTTGGCAGAGCTGCCTCTGCCTGAGATGGGACACCCAAGGTTTGCAGAGGGGGAAGGATGACTCTGGCAGATCTTGGTAAGAGAGAGTTTTGTTGGTTTTAGGAGCAGAGGTGGGCTCATGCTGAGGCTGGGCCAGGACACATGGAGCAGAGTTGAGTGCTGAAGGGCAGTAGAGCAGGAAAGCTAGTCTGTTGGTAAAGGCTATGGATAGTCAGTGGTGCAGAGTAGCTAAGAATGCCATCACTGTCCCACATGCTGGGGCTCCAGTCCCTCGCTGGCTGGCTGGCTTGCTCACCAGCCCTGCCCTTTCCCCCATCCCCAAAGCCTTGCTCACCAGCTGTGAGAGAGGTCACGGTGCCCACCTGGGTGTCCACAGCAAACAGGTCCTGAAGCAAAGGGGAGGCCATATGTGGCACCACATCCAGGAGTCTTCCCTCTGCCTATGGGTCTCTTCCCTATCTCCTCTCTACCCTCTTGGAGACCCCTGGCCAGACCAAGGCTGTGGGCAGCTATGGCGATGGTTACTCAGTGCAACGGGGAATAGCATGAGGGCCTGGGTTCAAATCCCAGCACCATCACAACTTGCTGGGTGACCCTGGGCAAGGTAAGGAATGCCTTTGAGCCCCTTTGAGTTGGCATGAGGACCAAATATACCCAAAAGGAGCCTGGCACAGTGAGTGTCTTTACTCCATCCATGGGGGAAGGGCTCAATCCTGCTCCCATCAGCTGCCCTTACAGAGTATTCAGGGACCCACCCCAGTGGCAGTCCCCTTGTGCTCTAGCTAGAAATGCCTGGGAGGGGTTGCATCTCTGCCTCAGATGAAAAGGCCCGAGTTCTGCTGTGGTATACCAGGGCGGCCAGTCCCCTCCAGCAGAAGTGAGTCCAAGATGGGCAGGCAGGGTTTTAAATGGCTGGTGGGACTTTGTGGCTGGGTGTTCTACCCAGGGGCATGCAGGTGCTATGTCTCAGGGGCCCAGAGCTCCTGGGGGTTGACCACAGGGGCTGCCCCTCAACACAATCAGTGTCCCTCACCTGCCGGCTGCGCTGAGCTGAGTCAAAGACCACTCTCTGGCTGTCAGCTGACCAGCATCCCAGAGGCAGAAGGCTGCAGTAGATCCCAGAGAAGTTCT